GATTCGGCGCTCTCACCGCCGCGGCCCGGGTTCGATTCCCGGTCAGGGAAGTACACTGTTTCTTGCTAGCGAAAAACATAACCAAAATCAGCTGTCAGCTTGTCCTCACACCTCTTTGCTAAAACGAGACGTCCTTCGAGCCGGATTTGAACCAGCGACCTAAGGATGGCCGTTTGTAACATCTACAGTCCTCCGCTCTACCAACTGAGCTATCGAAGGTGCCCAGCTCGCTCGTGTGTTCCCCAACTTTCATGGGACACGCTTGAAATTCTGCCACACGCCAACATGCGACGCAGTGACTTTTGAGGATCCTGGCTTATGGCTGAATGCCCTAGAGTGCAAGGCATCCTTTTCCTATTACAGCTACCAAAGGAGCCATCAAAGTTAGCAGAGTGTCTGGTGGAACTGATGGTTATTCACAGCTGCATTTCAGCCGAGCTCCAGAAAGAGCACTTCATCACTTGGTGTAAAATGATACATAAATGAATAGACATCAAGACCTTGCATGTGGGCTGAAATCCTGCAGCCGTGTCACCGTGAAGCAGGTATGTCCAATCCTATATGCAGAGAGCCGACTTGCTTACAAGCTTTTATTTCAACAAAGCAGGAGTTGGAAAGTTCAGTTGTTACAAGACTGGCACCAACTGATTCAAGAAGTTGAATGAGGTGTGCTCCTGCTTGTTTTGAGTAAAAATCTTTAGACACGCGAACTCTTGCTATGCCAGGCCCTCCGGTGTGCAGACGCAATCATCGAAACTGCATTTGTGACCTTGATAAAGGTTTTTGTCAAAAAAAATTTTCCACGTCTCATAGGTAAGCATGTGTTACTGTGGCTCTGCCCCTGAGTAGGCTACTGTATTATCATAATGGCGATGTTTCTACCTTTAATTTCATAAATGCAGGAAAGTAAAAAACCCTTCTGAAACTACCAATGTCCGGACCTTGGTGTCCTCATAGCTAGTTACTCCAGCGTGAAGTCATTATTAGCCATGCAGACAAACAGCATCAGAGTGTTGTCAGCTGAGGAATAGCATGCAGACAAAAGACTCTTCAAAATCCAAACACGAGAAAAAAAGTTAATCAGCTGAGCTGTTCTGACCCAAGGAGAGAAGAAACGACCCAATGAAATGAGAAACATCTATCTGAATACACATAACAAATGTACAAATGAGTAAAGTTTGTGAACTTACTTTTGTCAGCATGAACGCTGAAACTTTCTCCTGGAAGCCCATGGCATCATTCCTTAGAAGTTCAGCTCGTACCCCTCAGTCACATCATTCCACACTGCTTCTTTTCTGCGGCTGAATGACATTCTCCTGTTTAGGCCTTAGCCACTTCTTTAAAAAAGATCACTGATCATGTTAACGATACACACATAGAGATATTAGAAACAATATTAGCTGATCTGTTGCAACACTACCCTGTCCATCAGTGGAACCACCATTGGACCACCACTGACCAGATGCCTAAAATAAAGTCTGACACAGTCTTTCTTGTTTTGTTGTTTTTCTCTTTTTTTCATTTTTTTTCTGGTGTTTCTGATGGCCTGAATAATATTTTTGGCAGCATCTCCATTTGAGATGTAAACTAGTAAAAGCAGTTTTTAATTAATATTTAATGAATGAAGCGTTTTAATTAAGAATCTTTCAGTAAGACTAAAAATGTCATGCTAAAAAATAAAGAAAAGGGTACGATCTTTGTCAGCCCCTGTCTCGTTAGGGCTCTTGGAATCATATATAGTCTAAGCTATGTGAACCACACTGAGACCATAGTAATAAGGTTTGATGATGGGGAACATTAAAAAGAATCTTTGTACATCTTTATCAGCTCACTAAGCTCATCCAGCTTCTAAAACAACTGAGAACCCATGAGAACTGTGAGAGGTAACGTGAGATGTGATAATCTGTGGTCATCAACAGTGAATAGCATAAACTCACCTTAGAGTGAAACGGAACGCGCTCAAAGTTCACATTCATGCCAGAGATGATGACGGGCATCTCCCATCAGATTGGCCTCCTACAGAAAGAACACACAACATATATGTTCATTAATCCTTTACGCTGGTTGTTTCCCAATAAGAATGTGTGTGCTTATGTTTGTGTACTCACATAGCGGATTGTTCGGAGCTCCTTCTCTGGGCTTCTTTTCTTCAGCAGAGCTCTGCTGATCTGTGTGTTGTGCTGCTTTTTCCACATAAAGTGAATTTAGTCCCCAACATGTTTGATCTACAAAAGACAGAAAACCTAAGACTACATGATCAGACCTACTGAGAGAGGAAGATGGGTTTATGGAGAGGAAGACAGCTGCACAGAAAGGGAGCTCATACATACCTTAGTTTCCCTACAATGTTCTTACCCTTTTCAGACAGGCCTGTGGGATCCACTGATATCACATAGTTAGCTGTCATGGTCCTATTTCTGTTCCTAGAGGAGAACATGAATTTCACCCCACCAATTAGCACAACGCTAACTGCAGGCCTACAACATACATATTTGTAGAAACATACCTGCTCAATGGCTCCGCTGTCTTCTGCTCCAAAGGCCCATCCTGCTTCTGGTCGCCATCGGTCATCATCAAAGGCTTGTTGCTCATTTTTCATGCTCAGCTCCCTGCTGTGGCCTGAATATACTCCCCTCACCAAACATCCACTTCATCCACTCTTTCTTCTGCTTTTTTTCTTTCTTCATATGCTCCTCTCTTGCTTTCTCCTACTGTCTCTCCCTCCTCTCTTTCTCTCTTTCCTCTTCTCTGTGCTTCTCTGATTCTCTGAGCCTTGATTTCTTTCTCTTTCTTTCCTTCCATCTTTGGAAATCTACGCTGCCACTCCTCCTCCTGTTTCTGGATCATTTCTTTCCATTTCTCTGGTTTGGAAAATTGTACACTCCAAAAAATTACATCTTGCCAAGTGAAATGATCTTAAATCTAGTAAATGTATCTAATATTTCTAATCAAAAGATTATTGCAAGAATGGTATAAGATTAAACTTATTTCTAGACATTTTTACTTATTTATGTAGTTAATTATGTTATTCTATTCCATTATTAGAAATAGTTTGATACTTATAATATTCTTACAGCAGTGTTATAACTAAAAATAACACACACACACACACACATTTTTTAAGTAGCTTGTTATTCTGGGTCATGGGGAGCATATCCCTGCAGTCATTGGGCGGAAGACAGGAAAGACCCTGGGCAGGTCGCCAGTCCATCAAAGAGCTAAAATACACATTATATATTATATTTAAATTTGCAAAGATATAATTATTTTGCAGCATAGGCTCAAAAGAGACATAAAGAGCAAAGCAGTCCAAGACTTGAACCACCACAACAGAATGAAATTAAACACAAAAAAAAGAATAAGTGAGAATGGCTTAGGGGGAGAAGATCATTACAAAAGTGCTCAAGTAGAAGGAAAAGCAGTAACCTTTGGAAAATACTCAGCAAAGTACACATCAATCAGAATTGTATTTAAATAAGTGGAACTAGTTACTACACACTGATTCACACAAACACACTCTACACACTAGGGGTGGGGGAAAAACTTGATTCTTAGATGCCTCACGATGCGGACGTGAATGATTCTGAATCGATTCATAAATGTCAAAAATCGATTTTCTAAATATTTAATTTATAATGTAATGTTGACGGGACGTAAAAAGCGGAACTTGGAAGTGGGTAAGTGCAGCGACCGGACAGTCTGTGGTGGCACATAACAAAAACACAACTGGATGAGCGAGAAATCCGACCAGCTCCCTCTGCATTAAAAGACAGGTTAGGTCAGGAGTCACAACCCAAATGTTAAGAAGAGCCATTTTGTCCCTTCAACAAAAATCAAACCACCTTGGGAGCCAAAACATTTATTGTCCAGTATGTGTCAGTGTGTATTAATGTCCTAGTATAGGCTAAAAAATATAAATGAAAACACAGACTTACTTTGCTCTGCTTTAAGCTTTAGCTGTAGCCGCTTTCCTCCCATCTCCACCAGAAAACTTTCCCTCAAAAGTAGATCAGTTTCTTGTAAAATGTCTCTCAACGTTCAACTGTTTTATGAAGCTGAAGTTGCTTCTTATTCTCCAGCTTCTCGTTCGAATTTTCCCATTTCACCTTAAATTCTGCCTGAGGCATCGAATGTAAGTGCTGCACCATTTAAGGTGGAACGGGGAAATGAGAAAGAGAAGCTGACTTCATCTTTGCAACTTTTTAGTGTTTGACAGTCTCTTGTTGCAGATTTAACGTACCAGGGAACCAACTGCAGTGCTTATAAATGCAAATAAGTCCATTCAACTCCAAATGTTCGTCTTAAATCTCTGTCTGTCCTTTTGTTCGTTACTAGCCAGGCGAGACTTCGTTGCTAAGTGACCTGCAGTCTGCACGCCATTTCTCAGTCTTTGAGAAACAGGGCTTTTGCGCTATGTTGCACACTTTGGAGCCGAGATTCAGCGTCCAGTCTCGAAGATATTTTACTGACACAGCGACTCATTCTCTACCATGAGACCAAAACCAAAGTTATAAAATCACTAAAGAAAACGGGTAGGACAGCTGTAACATGTGCTGCGTGGACATCCATTACCACTGGATCTTATGTCACCCTAACAGCACATTTTATCGCAGATGAGTGGCATCAGCACCTCATGTGCTCCAAACAAGAGCAGTGAATGAGAGCCTTCTAGTTCACTTGCCACATCACTTCCATTTGATTTAATAATAAAAGATATTGCAAGTAAATGCATTATGGATCATTACAAATACTTTGCTTTAAAACGACGAAGTCCTCAGACAGTAAGAAAAAAAAAAATGATGCATCACAATGCATCGATAATCGTTTTATAATTGTATCGCAGCCCTCTGAATCGTAATCAAATCGTGAGGTGCCTAAAGATTCCCACCCCTACTACACACAGTCCAATCTGTGCTTGGCTGACCCCACCCCACCCCCTTCCCTGCCCCCATTAGTGGGTGATGAGGGCGTTAAGCCAGGCAGTGCGAGTTAGTCTCATTAGAGCCTGTGGAATGAGCTGCTTCTCTGGCCATGGCATTACTGACCGAAACTAAAGACCGAAGACGTCAACCAAGCCTTTGAAAGCACCTTCAAAACGCTACATCACCTGGAATCAGATCTCAACTAAAAATGTGGACCACAAAGTTTTAATTTAAGTGTTTGGAAAGTGAAGAACCTGCTGAGGGATGGAGAACTCAAAGAGACAAGACTAGAGAACATTTCCTGTGGAACTAGAGCTCTACTATTACAATGGAGTTTGGAAAAGTTGTTTTACTGACCACAATGATGTTCAAATGTGGTGAGTCTGGTTTCATCAGCTTCTCTCTCTCTCTCTCTCTACCTCTCTCTCTCTCTCTCTATCTATATATATATGTATATATATATATATATATATGAATTTTACACATCAGGAAAATTTTGTTAATATTAAACTCAGCATAGAAAGAAAAATTGTGTACTAAAATTTGCAGAAACTTGTCACTTGAAGTGTGGTCTCAGTAGAGGATGTACAAACTTATATTCACTTAGAAAATCAATAAAAAATAATTTGACCAGGGGCGCAGGAAATAGCAGTGCTATATTATGATTAATATCCCCTCTAATATTATTAGAGAATAAAAATGTGTTGTCCATTAACATATTAACATAAGCTGTTTTGGACAAATGTTTATGCAACATTATCGAATAAAACAATATACCTTTAATGAATTCTGGTATTTACAGTAATCAATCCTTCTTTTTTCATGGTCCCTCACTTTTAATGGTATTTTTATTGTACAGTGTTTAGTTGTACTTATTCTAAAGTTTTATAGTGTTTTTACAGCAAAAACACAATTACTGCTCAGATAAAATTTTATCTGCCTAAGCTTTTTGCACAGTACTGTAAATAGTTTTATCTAGTTAAATATTTATAGTGACATATTTCTGCACATGGAGGTTTGGACCGTAAGCTTAGTGAATGTCCACATAAGTTTAAGCTTCATTCTATTTCAATTTTACATGCATCACTTGTACAGCACGCTGAGTACTGAAGAACAAAGTGGCTGCAACAAAGAGTCCTTTATGTGGTTGCATTTCAAAATTTGTAAAAAAAATCTTATGTAAGTAATTATAAAAAGACTTTATTCCATGTAATAGCTGATTTATGTCCTTATGAAAGTTCACCACAAGGCAAAGTTTCGGCTGTCACTTTGTCCTGTGAGTGATGATGTAGCAAAGTGAAAGTTTTTGTTTAATTAACAAGCTAAAAAATTATTTCCAAGTGAATATTATTTAGCTTTTACAGTGTCTGTGTCGTGTGTGATTTATTTTTCTCCTATTTTTAAAACAAAAGGGGAAGCAATTCACAGTTAACATGATAGTTCGACAACAATATCTAATTTTCAGTTTTTCCCACTTACCCTAAAGGTAGTCGATCAGTCAAGACATGTTCGGTGCCTGAACTTTGCTTCTTTAGTTTTAGCACTGGAGCTACAAGGCTAATGTAGGTAATGGAAGTAATGGAAACGTATACTTCAATTAGCATGGTGCTACTGCATCCCTAAGTCATCATGTGCTTTCTTCAAGCCGTGTTATTGAAGTTCACCAGCAGTGCTTTGATTGCTGCACCATTTGAGATGGAATGGGAAATTTAAATAAAAAGCTGGGGAATATGAAGCCGACATCATCTTCCTCAAACCACGTGAAGCAGTAAAAACAGTTCTCCCAAAACAGTAGATAATATGAGCTGTGGTTCTGTCCTGGGGGTAACAACACTCTATAGGCCACTCTGGAAATAGGCCAAACTCCATCCATCCATCCATCATCTAAACCGCTTATCCTTCTGGGTCGCGGTGGGGTGCTGGAGCCTATCCCAGCTGTCATCGGGCGGAAGGCAGGATACACCCTGGACAGGTCGCCAGTCCATCGCAGGGCAGACAAACAGACATATACATCCACACACACACACACTCACACCTAGGGGCAATTTAGCACGTCCAATTGACCTGACTGCATGTTTTTTGGACTGTGGGAGGAAACCGGAGTACCCGGAGGAAACCCACGCAGACACGGGGAGAACAGGCAAACTCCACCCAGAAACGACCCTGGTCACCCAACCGGGAATCGAACCCAGGCCATTCTTGCTGTGAGGCGACAGCGCTACCCACTGCGCCACCGTGCCGCCCCTAGGCCAAACTCGTGTGTACATAATTAGCTAATAACTTTTGTTTATCAGCAATTGATTACTGTGGAGCCAGAGTTTTCTGTGAGCTACTGTGTTTCCTATCACTGTGTAAAAGATGCACATGTCTCCTTTACTGCTGGATGCACCATGATTTTGAGCTCATTCAGCATGCAGTTGATTGTTTTGTTTAATCAGAGTAACAACAAAGTGCCTTTGATGTGTGACTTAAACCCTAATGGTGTTTGTTAGATCACCTCCTTTACATAGCAAAATAAATGCAACAACAGCACTGGGAAATCACAATATTAGTGAAGAACATCAATAAAACAGCAGAAATAGACACTTTTTTGCACATGCCTTAAAGGAAAAAATGCATTTTAATTCCTAGATCCATAAGGGCGCTTCTCTAAAAGAACTGATAGCCTGCTAATGCTAACCTTCCCACTCTGATAAAGTTCTGCTAGCTGAGTTAAACAGCTGAAATCTCAGTTTGAAAACAAACAGAGCAGAGACTATCAGACTGCTGTCACACATCACTCACACCTCTCTCTCTCTCTTTCTCTCTATCTCACTCTCTCTCTCTCTGTTTTTAAGCTCTGTCTGTTCAGTGTTATTACAGTGAAGTGTTATCTCTTCGTATGTGTTTGTGGCAGTGAAAGATTAACCAGATCAATCCCACTCCTGCGCTTCCCCCTCAGAGTCCAGGCACAAACTCCACAGATGTGTACCTGTATGTGTGCGAAGTTCATGGTTTAAATTCAGGCTTTTCCATGAAGCCCATTATACAGTACTGTGCAAAAGTCCACCTCTGGTTTATTAATTTCCAAGCAAAATGTCCATTAAATATAAATTGATTTTTCAGGAGATGGTTGTGAGGAGATTACATATCATATAATACATTTGCATAAGGAAGCAGAAAGTCAAAGTGAAAAAAGAGTTCAGAAACTGATTAAAAGCTCCAGAGAAAATGGGGCTCCTAGCAAACACCTGGAAGACCTGGTAGACACCAAAACTGCCCCCCATCAGATAAACAGCACTTAAAGCTTTCATCTTTGAGAGAGAGGAGAAAATCAAGCTGCTTCAACATCCACAGGTGTTTCTGTCCATCCTTCCACTGTGAGAAGACGACTCAGCGCTATGGGTCTGAAAGGATGTGTAGCTGTCAAGAAGAACCTCACTGAGAAAAGAAGACGGACACATCAAACAAAGAAGCTGCACGATGGACTAACCACCCCAGAGTCCAGACCTCAGCACCACTGAATGTATTTAATTACTTCAGAAAATGATCAACCAGCTTCTGAGACTGAACTTTGGAGGTGTGTCTGCAGATTTACTTGAGGAACTGAAAATGAGTCTCCTGAAAAGAATGGAAGCTGGAATTAAGGGAAAGAGCGACTCACTGAACACTCATACATCTGAGATTAGATTTAGCTGCTGAGGCTTCTGTGTAATTTTCATTCAAATATGTGATTTGCTTTTTGTGAAACTTAAACATGAATAACTTCTCAATGGCTGTTATGACTGGAAATTAAATAAATGAATAAGGCTTCTGACTTTCGCACAGTGCTGTATTAGTTAAATAGAATGATTTTAAATCATTGGAACTCACGTTTTTCATTTGTCTGTCTGATGGAATATACGTAACTCCATTTTAATCAAGCAATCAAATCATTTCAGTCCACAACAACACATTTTACTGTCCACCAAACCATGACCTGTTCTACCTTCTGACCCCTATAAACTCTGTAGAGATCCATTCAGACTCACTTTCTATAACACTGTGATCTATCTTATGGAACAGAACTCAGCTAGAAGCAGTGTGGATGGGACGCCTGATCACTCACATTTCATTTCCGCTGCGTTTACACATTGTGTCTGGTGTGAATTTTCTGTGCGTTTTGGTGTGAGTTAGTATAAGTGCAAGGACTGTGGTGGAGCTATGAGTGGCTGGTAGATATAGGTGAGATCAGGGTTCTGTAACAAACCTGCCTATCAGCCTGGAACTTGCTTTACATTACTGCAATTCCTCCAGCAGTGCCACACTGATAACACAGCCACACTGAAAGATGGACACACACAAAGACAGACAGACAGACACACTGACAGATGCACCCCCACTCAGACACAGAGCACTCCTGAAACGTATTAGGCTTACCCCACATTCACACCAGCAGGCAACAGAACTAAAAATGAGTAGGCAATCATTCTGTTCCAAAAGTCAGCAACTTAAACATATATTTTGAGATTGGAAACACTATAGGGGACTTATTTGGAATTAAGTTTGAGTTTTAATGGTTAAATCTTTATTTCTTAGGGAACAATTATAAACACTTGCTTAAAATATTGTTGATAGCCAATAAAAAGACCATAATAAGAAAATGGATGCCGCAGGATCCCCCAACAAAAACAAATAATTGAAATTGCCCATAAAATCTATTTAATATGTTACAACTGAAGATGGAATATTTTACAAAATATTGGGAAAATGGATTTCACCCTTCCCTGTTAAATAAGTGGTTATGTGTAGTATTGTGTAATACTTTGTAATCCTTTATGTTTGTAAAATGGCCTTGTAAGAAATTTTATACTAGACTATCTGCTAGACAGCCTCTGTTTTAGTTACATCTGTCCATTTTTGTATTTATGTGTTGTATCCCCTGAAATTTATTGAGTGGTCATTGTAAAATGGGAAAAAATAAAGTATAAAAAAGATCCAAATTCTTCAGCAATGAAAAGTGACAAGTTGCCTCGACACCAGCAACATCAAGTGTCATTGTTCATATATGACAGTAAAGCAGTAATAACCTTGATCAATTATTTACAAAGCTGTACACTCTGATTAAGAAATACTGTTTTAAATTAGATTTAACTCAAAATAAAACAATGCTTTTACAAAAGTGCATGAGAATGTAATTTTAGTTGGTTACTAGCATTGTTTTTGTATTCCTGTAATCTGCAAAATCCGCCCTTAAAGGTGTTCATGTCTGCAAGTGACAAGTGGCTGAAAATAGACTCGAAGCATAATAACCGTTCACTCACATTTCGCATGTCATTCATCAGATGAAATGTGTCTCAAATACAGTTGAAAACCTACTGTTGCACATAGTACAAGTTTTCATATTCTTCTGTTAACT